TTTCCAAGGCTACTGAAGACAGAAAACAATGAGCCAAAGTGCTCTGAGTAATAATAAATTAACAAAAATTTGTAAATTGTCCCTGGTGGTCTTTAAAGGAAGGGTGTTGTAAGGGTCCCAGGAACTGAAAAAACTGTGGAGAAGGTTAGAGATCACAGCCAAATAGTGACAGGGTAGGATATGAGGACAATGACACCAGTGAAAAAATTCCCTGTGGCAGGAACGGCTAGCATCAATGTCAAGTTACTTCTTTTTCTGTGTCTTCTTTGCTCTGCTACTAGGGAAGGTACTATTTCATCCATGGAAAAGCACAGTGAGGGATGGAGATGGCAACAACAGAGGAATATGAAGCAATGGTTACCTTAGCCATTCTCTCCCCAAGTTTCCTTGGCAGTGTGCAGAAAGATCCTGGATTTCCCTAACTTCAGCTATGCAGGACAGCCTAATCACACAGCTACCATTTACTTACCGGCCTTTAGGCATATACCAGGCACATTATACATTAAGCTTTTCAATCTTGCAAAGCAGATATTTTATTGCTAATACACAGATAAGAAATTAAGACTCAGAAAGATTAGATAATATGCCTCATTAATCTAATAATCAATAATACAGCTGAGATTCAAGCCCAAATTTATCCGATTCTAAAACCAGTCTCTCCTTAACCACATTATACCATACTCCTCAGAAATAAACAAAAATTCTGTCTCCTTTAACTCGTTATACCTCCAAGTCAACTGCTTTTCTCTTCCAGACTTGCATCTAAGGAGAAGAACATTGGCAATCATGTTCTTTTTGGCTCTGTTTAATTAGGATCCCCAATTTGCTGAGAGAATTCAGTCAGCACAATACCCCCACCTCAATATGCTGTTCTCTCTGGTCTTCATCACCAAACTTCTTTTCCTCCAAATTTCCTAAGAGAAAGTCTCCCCTTGCTGTTTGACATCTTTATTTCCTTCTCTTTCAACTCACCATACCTTACCAATGTGAAGAGTCTGAGATTTTTATCCTCCTTGCAAGCTATTAACTTAACCTGCCACAGTTTTGTGGATGCTGGCAGAAGACACAGGTCTTTTGGGTCAAAGGCCGGTATTACTCATAACATGGCAGGATGCTCTAGTGTCCTGTTTAGTCAGTCTCCCTGCCTCTCAGGTGAGGCAACATGCTGTTTATATCACAGCTAAGGAACCCTAAGCTTTGGAAACTCCCAATGTTTTATAATGGATTGCAATAAAACTTACCAAGCTTGAATTCAGAATGAGATACTATCCTTACTATACTAGATGATAAACATAGCCCCTCTACTCTGGTAGGGGACACTATGTCTATTTTCCAAAGCTGTTTGACAAACATTCCCGAAAAAGACAGTCCAGAACAAAAGCTTAGAACATAAGACACAAAATTATGAGAATCCCATGAAGAATTGTCTCCCAATACATTCCTGCATCTTTCTTACAGAAGATTTTTCTTATGAAAGTGATTAGTAATTTCCTACTTTCATGATCCAACAATCTTCTAGAGTCTAGAAGGAACCACAAAGAACATTTAATCATTCAAGAAATATTTATTGGGCACCTCCTTATGTAACAAGCACTATGAGCCAAATACACACGATCTTCTCTTTATGAAGGGAGCAACAGACACACTATTCACACGTGAAAATGTAACTGTGGTAAATCATACGAAGGAAAGGTATGTGGTGGGTACAAGAGCTGACATCAATCAGGAATTTTGAAATTGTCTGGGAAGTCAGAAATGTTTTTCCCAAAGATGTCCCTTTCAAACAGAGATCTGAAGAATGAGAAACAGATACGATGGTCAAAGGAGAAAGAGCAGGTGCAGTGAGCCTTCGGCTCTTTGGATCACAGTTCATTTGGGAAACTAAAAGAAGGCCAGGAAGCCTTCTACCCAGGAAGGAAAGGGACAGTAATGAAGACTAAAAAGGCAAACAAGGTCAGATCCCACAAGTTCTAATAGTTTACTTTAAGCACTCTAATCTTATTCTAGAACATGAAAAGTTATTTAAGGTTTTATGTAAAAAGCAACATAGTTATATTTGCATTATAAAATATAATTTTGGCTTCAAAGTGGAGAATGAATAGAAGGGTACAGATTATTTGTATAGATCAAAATAGATTGATGATTGGCAAGAAGTGGAACTTTCACTTATCTTTTATTAAGAGATTTTGATGATAAAATAACTAAGGAGTTGATAGTGTTACAAACACAGGAAGATGAGGAAGACATCATGGATGACTACTAGATGTTTGACTGGAAATTGAACAGATGAGGAAAAAGAGTAAATGAATTCAGTTATTCTAAAGTTTGTAATTGAGACATTAAGTAGTCATGTTAACGAAGCAGTTCATATCAGATTTATAATTTAGGGGAAGATTCTGGACTAGAGGCATATCTACAGAAATAAGAGTCATATATATGATAACTAAAGCCATGGGTGTGGGTGATATCACATAGGCTATAAGATTATAAGAAGTACAGGAACAATTATAAATCTAATTTTAAGGATCTTTTATATTTGGTACAGAGGGAAACAGGAATCTGAAAAGGAATTAGACAAGCAGTGCCCAGAAAAGTAGGGTGAAAACTAAGAGGATTTAGTGGCAAAGCAAAAAGAAACATTTAAAGAATTGTGATCAAAGTATTGAGTATTGTTGAGTGCTCAGAAAAGATGAAAGCTAAAAGGTGGCACTCTTTCCATGGTAAGAAAAATAAAGCATTGAGAAGTGACTTGTTTAAAGCCAACATAAATTCTTATTCTACTCTGAGTACCCGGAGAACTTACACTGGGGGCCCAGGCTATGGTCATTTTTATGTATGCTTTATTCTCTCCATAGGATATAAATTCCCAAATCCTCACTTAACTCCATCTTACAGCATTGGATATCATATCACACTCTTCGGGTCTACTTCAATGATATTCGTGAACTATATGATCTACTATCCTTCAAAATAGTCATCCTTTCTCTGCCTAGTGGGTATGTCCCAAACACACTATTTAAAATATTGGTTATTTTTAACACTATTAGCCTACCCCATGAATCAAGGAATCAGAATCTTGAGGATTGGTTTGCAGGATTCTGCATTTTTAAAAAGCAGCACTGTTTTGAAATTACTATCAAGATTAAGTTTGTAAACCACTAGGTTAGCTTCAGATCAAATGGAGCTAGACAGCAATATGGAAAATATTCAATGAACTCATGCTCTGATAATGCTTACATTTAAAAATAACAGTTACACCTCAGTTATTCCAAGATCAGCTCTCTAGCAATTTTGTCTGGGAAAAGGCCAAATCTGGAAGTTAAAAAATGGAAACTTCTCTCATAGGGAAAGAACTTTCGATATTGAAGAGTAATAAAAATATCTCAAGATACCATTTGATATAGGGTTACTGTCATTTTAAGATAGGAAGAAAAAAAAAAACCTCTCATTAGCTGGCTGTGGATATAAATATTTGACCACTCATCATCTGGAACCATAGAAAAGAGCAGCAGAGAAAGAAGAAAAAGTAGTAAAAATTAAATGGTAAAGTAGAAAGCATGAGCGGAAAGATCAAAGCAGATAAAAAGGCAGAAGAGGAGATGAGAAGTGACGGAAAAGGCGATGAGAACATTCCAAAGAGAAAAAGCATCAAAGTAGGGACTCTATATACCTAAGCGGTCCCCTGGGACTTCAATGGATGGATGGATGGATGGATGGACGGCCAGGCTCTCACATATGGTGATTAGTCACCAAAAAAAAAAAAAAAAAAAAAAAAAAAAAAAAAACTTGTTTCATTATTCTATTCCTTAAAAATGTAGGAAATACGTGCATTTTATAGACATTTTTGCAAAAACAATTTTAAAATATTGCCATCTGAAAAAGATCTCACAGTTAATACACTGAAATAAAGCCAAACGTGGAGCTTAGTTATATTCATCACCATTTTCGAAAGGACATTTCCTGGGGTAGCACTCCGGTCTCAGAAACTACCCTTCCTGTCTTCCGGAAGAAACAGCAAAAGCACGCAGTCCCACCGGCTTAGGCATTATTGCAGCGCCCCCATTGCTTGAGGTTTAACGAAATCGTTGCTTCATTCGTTCACTTCTATCTTAGTGCTGTTGTAAAAACTAAGGTAATGGCTTCTACAAAATCTGCCTAGCTAAGAGTCCCAGTTTTCAACTGAAGTAAATTACTTTGGAATGTCGCCGAGATACCGGGCTCTATGTACCTGGGACTGGAAACCCATTAGCCCACCCAGGTTGGCTTCCTAGTCCCTGGGGGGGGGGGGTTAAGTGTCCCCCAAAGCACCTGCCAGCGAGAAGTTTGGGAGCTCGTGGTAAGGGGCCGACATGGTGCGTCTCGTGGGGGGAGCTTTTTAGAACGTGGACGGAGAACTGAGAGTGTCCCTCAGAACGTCAGTTAACTCGCTTCCTGGGGGTAGTTCAGAGCCAGGAGGCTCCGGGCCACGAGAGACAGCCCGGCCCGGAAGGTAGCGGGTGGCTGGGGAGCGTGGCGGGTACTCTGACTGCCCACGCCCGGCCCAACTGGGACTTATGGGGAGAGACCCGCGACACGGCGTGCGCGGGAAGGGGTTCGTTAGGG